TTTAATTCCTGGTAGAGCAAGAATAAGTCAGCTCTTAAAGAAAAGATGACACTATACATCTCTATTACCAAGTATCAGGCAGTGAGTATGAAACTGTCTTGCTGTATCAAATATACCAGATAATTGTCAATGATCCTACCTAAAACTTCAAAATTCATGTAATCGAAAACCTATTTATCAGTCCATTCTTTAGAGAGAGTCTCATTACTCTGCACAAGAAACTAGGCTTTGAAATTGCTATAATTACATTTGGTAAATTATAATACTAAGATTTTATTAATTATTATAGGCTGGCCTGAAATCATTCTGTATAAGCCTTAAGTATTCTATTTAGAAGGAGTAATGTACAGGATAATGTTTTCAGACTAGATATTCGATCACAAGATTTAAAGAATTATATATAAGGACTCTGACTAGTGCATTAATCCTGGAGCTGATTTTTAGGAACTAAGAGATTTCAACCTAGAAGGTCATCCACTTGGTCAATGCTAGCATGGCGATGACTTAAGCTGGATATTAAACTGGACCAGGAGTCTCAAAGAGTCTAATCCATAATTAGTACTTCAAAATATCTATCATTTCGCAGCAATAATCATCAAAGACCTATAATTACTACACAACAATGATCATTTAGATAAAGCAAGAGAATACTATAATGAGTCACTCAAAAAAGAGCAATTGACATTTAAATTGAATGATTAGCATTTTATTCACTTTTCCCAGCATTTGATGCCAATTAAATCAATTCCTTGGTATTGGATTTTTTCTCATTGGATATATGGGTATGAACCTATAAGGAAAGCCAAGAACATTGATATGTATGGTAGTACTAAAGCAGCCGAGGCTCTCTAATAGAGAACAACGAAATTTTAAGCAGCATAAGTGTTTTGCATTGGTTTTGAGCAAAGATATTATGAACTTACTCGACACCTCGGTTATGACCTTGTGGATATTGAGTTACTAGAGACATCTAAAATGGTAGTTTTTCATGATAATCCTGCTTTAGTACTTAAACTTCCCTTTGATTATTCACTTACTCATTTATAGATTACGGAGAAGCTAATTTATTCAGCTATTTAAGAAATTAAAAACTAGAAAATTTCATTAGATTAATTGCATACAATCTATGATTTTACACTGTCTTTTTTGGATACCGTAAATCCAAATTAAAGTGTTGTCTTACAATATAAGAAGTTTGATGAGATAATTTATTTGACATCTAGCGAACTTAAATTTGAAGGAAAGGGTTTATTACAAATAAGTGAATTAAAAGATTTCATTGATTAAAGTCTCTATGTTTAAGGTTTGATAAGTGATTTTGAAATTATTCTTAAAATATAATAACCTAAAACATTTCTAGGAGGTATTAAAGGAGTAATTTTAGAAGTGTAAAACATTTCATATAGTATTGTTGAATTTAACTCAGATAATTAAATAATTTTAGAAGATTTGAATCTAAAGAAAGAGCTAGAAAGATAGATATATTTAATGATTAAAAGATAGGTGCTAGCTGCTGACTGGCATAGTTATATTCACTAGAAAAAGGAAAGTAATCATAAATTAAAAGAAACGTATATTAATGAGAAGGGTGAGTTCTTCTTGGACAGACCTCTTGGTCTACCTGAGAGAAGGACAAGATTTACAAAATCTAAGCTTTATGATATATTGGATGGAGAGGTTGAAAATTAGACGAATCTGTCAAAAGCATTAATCTTGAAAATTGGATCTAGTGAAAACTTGATACCAGAAAGTATTAATAGTTTCATATAAAATTAAAGCTTTTTCATGCAAAACAACTCTGATATACTTATGCAAGTATTTATGAATAAAAAACCTGGACTTTTAAAAAGTTACACAAATTCTCTTTAAAAGTTAATCAGCAATGTTTCGAACAATATCAAAAAATTAATTGCATAAGCAGAAAGAGCTTCTTTATTAAAGAATATAGAAATGTAGAAAAAAAACTAGAAATAAATGTCAAACGATGCATAAAATAATTAAAACTAACAAAGCGATCTAAATGATCAAGAACTATAAATCTTGCAGCAAATAGGGGGGATTTTCACAACGCACAACTTGCAGAAACTAATACCTAATATTACTCAACTATATCCAGATCCTAAAAAAGTCAAACTTTAATTATCATTAGATGAAAAGGAAATTATATCAGATTCCTCATCTTCGTAATAATTAGAAGATCATTATATTTTGAGCTAGATTTTAGTCAAATTATAAATTAGGTTTGAAAAAAATCCTGGGTATTGGAGTTAACTAAGAAATTATAATTTTGAGATAAAGTTAGTTGTTTACCCTTAAGATATTTCGACAAATATACATCCAGACTTGATGAGATTTGAACTCGCTTATCTAACAGTTGATCAGAGCAAAATCATTAATTAAGAGGAAACGGATTATGTTAAATAATTACTCATTAATGAATTACAGATTTGGAATAAAAACTTTGATTAAAAGTATTTAATAGACCCGATAAGCATTATCAAAGATTTCTTGAAGCTAGATTATCTCTAATTATAAATGCATGATGTAGGAGAGGCTATTTCAATAGATGTACTTGGCAAGAGAAGAGCTAATTGCAGCGAAGCATTAACATTACAAATACTATAGCTTTTGACTGAATTTGATATTCTTAGTGGAGAGAATTAGATTGATATTGAGGCTATTTATAGAGAAACTTATAATGATTGTGAAGACTCTTAGGATGATGCAAATAGTTTAAGCTAAATATAAGGCCTTTTCAAAGATTTTCAACTGATTGAACAAAAGATATAGAGTGATGAAACGCAATAATATATATAGAAGATAATAGTAGATTTTCTTTTCAACAAATAAGAATATAGTTATGCTTAATTAGAAAAACTTTTTTAAAAGAAAAAGAAATTCACAAAAGAATCATAAATCATTATCAATGCATAGAATTGATACATTTAGACATTATTTTATAAATGTTTTTTATCTATTTTACATATTTTTAGCAAATTAGTTGAATGGGGTTTTGGGGTTTTGGGGTTTTGGGG